CTCCAAAGAAGGAGACTTCACTACTCTCGGAGTCAGCAGCGTCTTCCTCTGTTGAGCAGCTCTTGCTGTCAATAAGTTCTTCGTAGTGTTTAGGTGGAATCTTTTGTCCTGTAGCTTGAATCCATTGCATCAGAAAACAAGCTTGCTCCATCCTCTATATGACATCTCTTCACAAATGTAAACATGGCCATCGTGCCATCTCTTAACCTTCTCTTCCCAGGCTAAACATAACCAGCAGCTCCCTCAGCCGTTCCTCATAGGGCTTGGTGGCTTCCAGACCTTTGACCATCTTGGTCACCCTCCTCTGGTCCATTCTGATGCCCAAAACTGGACACAATATTCCAGGGGATGTCTGACCAAAGCAGATTAAGGTGGCACTACAATGTCCCTCGATCTAGATATTCGAACAGCTCTTACCACCAAGACATTCTTCCTCAAGTTTAGCCAGACTCTCTTTTCCTATAATTTGAATCCATCACTGGATCGGCAAGAAAACAAGCTCACTCCATTGTTTAGATGATAGCAGCCCTTCCCACATTTGAAGGTGGCTGTCCCAAATCACGGCTCAGCCTTCTGTTCTCCAGGCCAAACATACCCAGCTCTCTGAACCATTCTTCATAAGGCTGGCTTTCCAGACTGCTCACCTTCAAGCAAGCATACCTTTTACTTGGTGAGGGACTTGCTTTGGCTTAAAAGGTGATAAAATAGTGAAAGGTGCTGCTTGAAAGGTGATAAGATGGTTGTGGACCATGGCTTTGGTGATCACCCATCCCTAGTCCATTGCCGAAAACTCTAAGGCATTTTTGCATCAGATGTTTAAATGCTGGTAAATTTGGAGAGAAGGTGATAAAGTAAAAGATTTAGCTACAGTTAATTACACGTACATGTAAGTCACATGCTCTCAGCCTCAAGGGAAGGCGATGGCAAATGTCCTCCGAACTAATCTTGCCAAGAAAACCCCATGATAGGGTCCCCTTAAGGTCACCATGAGTTGGAAATGACTTGAAGGCACACAACAACAGCAGCAGCAACAGCAACAACAACAATGCTAGATACCTCACTTGTTGCCCAAAGTAAGGATCAGCACAAAGGAGGATCTATTTTTTGACTTTTTGTATGCAAAGTTCCAGACTATAACTCACATTACGCACACAAAATTTGCTAGCTCCATGACTTAGAATCATAGAATCATAGAGTTGGAAGA